GGCCAATGATATTGTCTCGGTAAACTTACCAACGCACAATATAAAATGTCACTTTGAGATCATGCATGTTCTACGAATAACTGCATTATTTGTCGGTTTGGAAAAGACGGGAGCTGTCGAACTCTTTTGGTGTACAAGTTTCTGGAAACTGTTGCAACTGGGCTAGCGCGTTTGGGCGCTTGGTCGGGTGAGCCACAGATCAGGAGCTCCGAACTGCTTTCAGGTCTTGGAGACAACAATTTATTCGAAATGCCGATCAAATGAGGCGGTCTTCACCATAACAAATCTGTAAGGCAAAACAATGTAAAACATCATACAACATGCCCAGGTTTCAAGAAGATCGAACATGGAAGTTACTGAACTTTTTGCAAACCATTGATGACCGCTAGCCGGCTCTTTTCGCGTGGCTCGAAACTAGCCACAGTAGAATTTTCTTTGTGTAAGATTTAAAAAAACTTCTGAGCAATGTTAAAAGGGCAGAGCGAGGTGTTATCAACTGATAAATTACAACAGGCCTAAGGCAATCAAGAAAACGTTCGATGCAAAATATTTGTGTCATTTGCTCCATGTTGACGAGGCTTTTCTACATGGATTGCGGCATAAATGCGGCACTTTTTCCGGAGTTTCTTGTAGCAACCTGTGCATCTTCCTCTGTTTCCCCAAACCGCTCTCAGATCTTTCTTACTCAAGGGTCGTTCTTGGAGATAAAGCTCACCGAAAACACCTTGAAGTAAGATTCTACGAGGTTCATCCTAAACGAACTGAAGTAAATTCTCTCTTTTGTTTTACAGCTAAGAACTATGAATTCAAGATTAGTGTTAGCGTGATGGATGAGTGAAAGTTCTTATATACCATTTTGTAGTGCAACGCTACAAATGGAGAATAAGCTTACATTCGATCACTTTGACCAACAAATCCTTCCAGCTTGTTGTAGTCTTCGTTTGGTGTGCCAAGTTCACCATCATGCAAAAATGCTACTGTCCTAATTTTGTAGACAACGTTTATTTTTTTATTTGAGCACGCGAAAACATATCGCGTTATAAAACGAACGGAACAAAGCTCGAACAAACAAACTCCAAATGGCAAAGGAAATAAAGATAGTAGTTAAAGGCAATCGAAGTGAAATAGTCTAATCATAAGGGACAACAAGACCAATTCCATAATAATAAAAGTACAAACGAACACGAAATGAAGAGAACAGTTTCACGAAATCCTCAACTCTACATTAGCTGAAAACCCCCTTTTGAGCAGTGACAGTTTGAGAACATCATTTCTAATTAATTTATTGAAGTCCGCAGCCTCTCGGTTGGAAAAACTATGCAGCCTGGCATTTGTTTTGCTCACCGCAGCCGGAAGCTTGAGTTTCCCACCTCTAGTGTTGGAAGAAACTAGGGTGAAAAACCTCTCATAGATAAAATTCGTTTTTCCACTGAGTATCATGAAAGCCATAACTGAGTCAAAACGTTTTTGTCCTCTGTAAAGACTCGGTAATCCTAGTTAACAGCTTTTTTCCGCCCCATTTGGAATAAACCAATAGCTAATGAAACTGTAACGTAAGACAATCTTACGGGTGAAGTTATTCTGAATGCTTCAAGTAGCTATGTACTTGTTTTCATAAGGATCGAAGACAGTGGAACCACTGTCAATGGTAATGCGAGTTTCATAAGCGCGATGAAGCGCATCACAGTTTTTGTGCGGAGAGCTTTAAAAAGAATGTATATCCTAAAGCTTAAAGAATGTATATCCTAAAGCGTTGACAAGTTTTTCGAAAAGATCACGAAAGGAAAGTTTATCATTTATAAGGAATCCCTAGTCCCTAACATTGGCCACACATCTAAGGTTAACGTCATTAACATGCCCACGATTCCTGGCATCGACCTCGTCCAATATGAAAAAATACCGCTGTCGTCCGCTAATGGCAGCTCCAAGCTTTTCGTCCAGCGAACGACATGGTCACTGGCGTTTTCCAGCGCAAGCATTTTTCTGAAACCTCAATAGTAGGGCATGTTTCAATGTCATCAGTAGACATCAGGCAGGTGGCGCCAGGTTGAGTAATACCATATGGGAGATGAGCGAAAATTTAGAAGGAGATAACACGCCTCCTTGAGGGACGCCACTGGGAGCGAGTAAAACCCATGAGTATACTTGGCCTACCCTCATTCGATATATGCGATTCTCGAAAAATTTTTCGATTTATGCTACTACTCGAATGAACACCAACCATAATGAGTTTGTGAATCAATTTTTGTGGGGAACCTTATCAGAAGCTTTTCCAAAATCAAAAGCGATGATATGGGTTAGTTTTCGAGCATCCAGGGCCCTAGTCTAGTCATTGATTCTATCCTGAGCTCGAGAACCAATGTACTTGTAAAACTTAGGATTTTCTTGTTCATAACCTTTCTCCACATTTTCTCAGAGTGTTCAAAAGGCTTCTTATCAACCTTAGCATTATAAGATTCGGGATTCTGACCATAATGCCCGAATAAGGGGAACGAACTTGGCAATTGCATCGCGAAGGACAGCGAAGAAAACTTCATACATTACACTGACAGACGAGCAACAGTTGAAGGAGCCTAACCAGTCAATGGTACCAAGATACTCTGGGATGTCTGAATAATTTGCTCGATCAAAGTCGGGTTTCCAAATCAGATAAGGCTTCAAGGCACGAAGATTCACCGAGAAGTCAATGTCCGCATTTCTGATCACTTCCTCCAATAGAAAGAAGAAGGTTTACTCTTTTGATGAGTCCTTGAAATTGCAAAAGAGCAAGTCGAGGTAGGCGTGACCTCTAGTAGGGGGGGGGGCTTAACCAGCTGCTTAAAATTGTGCGAAACTAACAAATCGATGAAATTGTTTAAAGTGTCTGAAGGACAATTTCAACTGACAGGCCAATACCGGAATATCGAAATCACCCATGACTAGGCAGGGATCACTAGCAGACAAAACATCACTAATTGTCTTTATAAGTTGAATTGAGTTCGTAGAGTTACAGCTAGCTAAGAAGGTAAACAGGATTAGTTCGTAAAACTTTGTCAACTAAGAAAATGTCCGTGATGAGAACTTCATACGCATCCTTGTCTGATTCTTGATTGATGACGCTATCAGAAAAAAGTATTTACTATAATACTTTATCAGTAAAACAACTGCTCCATCAGTTTTATTAAACCGGTCACGCCTGATGGCAATATAGCACGAACTTAAGGAAGCTAATGCAACTAGTCGAGGTGGAGAAGAAGGAGCTTTTCATTTGACGAAGGATGAGGAAGGGAACGAGCAAGGCTACACAGCATCTTCTCAATTTAATTTCCTAACAAAGAAATCTCCTCCCTCAATTGTTTGTTTTCCTCTAGTATGTCATCATTCCTTTCGTGGACTTCAACGAGTTGCCGACAAGTTTCCTCGAGCACATCAATAATGATCTTCATGTAGAGGCATGTTCTTCCCAATGGCCATAAGGCGTAGACGATCCAGAGCACTTTGACGGCGTAGACGATCCAATGCACTTTGACAGGGCGACACGACATCGCTTCATTGGAACGGAAGAAGACCGCAGGGCGAGCAAATCTCCATTACAACAGTAATGGGAGCGCAATAATGGAAACAGATCAAGGATCGTCAATAAAAGCGGTTGGCAATCGATTGGTCGGCACAATCCAATGAACAAAATTACAAAGGAAATCAGAAAATTGAAAGTGTAGGTAAACAGCGAAGAAACTCATCCTCTGCCACAAAGGATGGACGTAGCAAACAGGCAGTAAGAGAAGCGATTTCGCAGAGATTTGCAAGCGAATATCATAAAGTTCAGAATATCTAAAGCGCTGTATTTGTAGCAGACGCAGGGCGCGATAGAAAAAGATCACTCACGATCCGCGCAGACACTGTTGAACAACTGTTATGTATACCCTCCTTGTTTCAATTTCTTTCTTCGACAAGCACTAAAGTTCGTAACGACTTCTTTTAAAGGAGCGATTAGATGACTTCTTCTTTCTAGAAGTTTTTCGGCTAATCCAATCGAGCTGTACCAATCTTCACAACAAAGCTGTCTGATGCTGCCCAAAATGCCATCCATCAGAGAGAGGACGACATTATCCGCAAATGGTCCACTACGTGTCTTCTTGCTGCGTGGATCATTGACCTTTAGGTATAACCTCCTGTCGTCAGAGTCCGAAAATTTTGACACCACATCTATATTTCTTTGAATGTTCACACTGTAGGAAAACAATACATTCTTTGAATAGTACGAGCGATTCTTCTCCGGCTACTACTCTTTCAGGATAGTGCTTCTTTTCATGGTTGACATTGGATACACCTACAAATGACTTCATCCTATACAGTCGGTCACCTCTAGTGCACCATTGCTGCAAGCGAACGAGCTCCTTATGCTGGACGTCGGCTCTAATAGTCTGGACGTTATGACAAGTCCCATTGAATGTAGAGTGCGATAAGCTTCCTGAACTCTTCTTTATTTATTGTATGTCACGAAGCTAGAATCCTTATGCGACCCGTGCCCATCTTTTCCCGTCTCTATTTGTGTCAAAAGATCGTAGTCAATAAATAGTTTTTAAAATTACGGAGCAGAACAAAATGTCCCTACATTGCTCCGCCTATGCTAATCAGTGAAGTCCCACCTCGTGTCAACTTCAACCTCATTGTCCATGTTACGGTATCGCTCCCTTTGTTGTAGTATCGCCACCGAACTAGAATCTGAGGCAGAATCTTCTCTTGAGCGAAAAATCATCTGCGAACATATGAACGGCAGCTTTCGTTTTCATCATCGGAGTGCAATAGTTACCTTCGAAAATTTTTTCTCAGAACGGCTCATAATAAGTGTGACCCATTACACTATGGAGAAAAATACAACGTTCATCTGGAGCATCAGACCATAGTACAAGTAAAAAAATAGTGCAAAGTAGCTTTGCTGGGGTATTCAGCAACTTACTCGGCGTACAGCGAGTTTAGTCGTTCAATTTCATCAAAACACAACACATAAAATAACACCTAACTTTTGCACCACATTCGTCATCAATAAAAGGTACCTTGAACCTGGGCAATTACACCAGCGAATCATCACAAAATGCTGAACTACTAGAGCACCAGAAATATGAATGAAACGATGATCGGACGGCTCCGACATTCCCATACGGAGATCGTAGGAGGCTGCTTCTTCAAAATTCCAATGCAATGCCCAAAGTTCTTTCGACGTCCGTACAACCTACTTGAGTCGGCGAGATTTCCAGCTGTTCTGTCATGAAAGCGATGTCAGCTGAATTTGCTGCTTTTTCACCAACCTACCCAAATCTTGAAACTAGCGGATCGCCGCCAAAGAACGGCGGTTTGAGATCGTAGCATTCTCATCCCGTCTGTTTCGTCGTGTATGGATAGAGTCGCACGCCAGGCTTGTCCAGAAATCATTGTTAAAGTTTCTTGCTTTCCTAAGCATACTAAGGAACAACATCAGATGCCATAGCGCAGAAATAATATTGTGTACAACCTATCTCTTCTTTAATGACGTTTTTATAGTATTTTCCTTTTTGAAGCAAGTGTGTACAAAAATGTACCATGCTGCTGGGACCATGTGGCCCACCAGCGGGTCGCGGCAACACCCACAAAAAGCGTACTCGATCCCACGTGCTCAAAAGGCGCTGTCGTTATCGGGTCAAATCACAAAGCTTAGACCTTTAGCAATGAACGCTACTAATAAAGCTTATGATGCACTGTCAGAGTCAATGGAAGCTCTAGTTTTTAATTCAGCGTATACTATTACTTCCACATTATGAAGTAAGGCACGATGTATGGCCATGAACCCTGTACCTGATTTTTCAGTTCACTGACACTCGCTATCCAGTGCTACACTGAGTCTGATCGTAATCTTATCGAAGCCTACATGTCCCCATCTCTTGTCGTGAGGCTCTTTGATTTCTTTCCCTTCGATTTCTTTAAATTGCAAAAAATTGCATCGAGTAGCTGTGCTCATGCTGTTAATGGCTACCTATCGAGAACATGGTAATTTCGTTGTAAAATGAGAAGTATGCAGAATTTGCTGGTGACCAGCTGCAATGTGTGTAAAAAGTACTGATGAATACCGATTGCCTACCATAATATCGAACAGTGCAGGAAAGCACTGATGATAATCTACTGCTTTTTTTCTCGACGCTGGGAGGTGATACCATAAGAGGAGTATCCTCACTACATATAAAGCGCTCGCGTCCGTCCGTCTGTCTGTTTGCACGGAAATTCGAGATCGCCTGATAAAGTACCTGTAGAAGTTTTACGCCTATGAACGGAAGTGGACATAGAATGATGCATAAGTATGCTAGCCCAACTGGTCACTAGATAAGCCGTTCATACCGTGATGCTGTTTCCATTGCTCATTCCGAGAGTAGCACTCATCGTAGATTTTAGAATGAGGAGTACAGTATGTGCGCGATAGCAACTTATTTGGATCCGCAGAAGAAGGAAATTACAAACGTGCAGATGTTTGGAGAGGAACAAAAGGTACGCGATCCTCTCTGCTCTTACCCCAGCCCCTGATCTGCCAGCTGCGGCATGTTCGAATTCAATGTGGTGCCCAGAGCACTGATGTTATCTGTCATTTGTCGATACAGAATATTTCACCAACACGAACTGCAGAGAGGGTATTCGGGTACAGTACAGAAAGGCTCCCAAACCGACACGCTTTGGTGACAGGGAGCCCGCATGAACGGAGCACCGGTGTTTCCAACCCTCATCACCACAATATCCAGGGATTCCCAGTGTCTGGTCACTGCTCCCGTGCTACCGTCCTTCTCAACCGCTGACCCAGTTGTTCTTGTTATACAAAATACATTCCCCCGTTCCATTACATTACACAAGCACATCATTATAAATTAATCTTCTTATTACACAAATACTGGTGAGGCTCAATATCAAGGGACGGCTAAATATTATGGCACTGCTATTAGGTTGGCAAATAAGTCCTGCGACAAAAAATTTGAAGCGTTGAAAATTTTTATCAACAGTGTGAACACGGTAGCAAGGGTGATAGACTTGTAGGAAATTCCTCAGGCAATTAACACATAAGTAAATAAGGGCACGCGTGTGAGCTTCCAGAGCATTACGGTCAATGAATGGACAACACCCGATTCGTACCATCACCTTCTACTAAGCACGCCAAGGAAAAAACGCGGGTGTTGCGGCTCAAATTATCAGGAACCTATTCAATGCTGGCTTTGCTCACCGATCGACGGTCAACAACAGGTTGGATCGCTTCGCTGGAGGAGATACTAGCCTTCGAAGCCATGCAAGCATCGTCCCTTAGTTTAAAGGAAGTTGAAGGGATCCATCCACTATGAGTTGCTAAACGCAGACTGGATGGACACAGCTATCGCTTGCCCCTATGATCCCCTTAATTTGGCCAACGTGGTTAGAAAAGGGCGATCAAACCGTAAATTAGGCCCCTACAGAGGGACAACGCACGTCGAAAATTCGCTTTAGACCCACGTCAAAAGTTCACCAATCCCGATTGGTTCCAGATTACTCGTCAGTCCTACTCCCGGAGTGTTCGCCCTTTTACCTTTTACCTACCGTAACTTAATGTGATCCAAAAACGGTAGTCAATTACTTCTTTGAATCACAGCTCCCTCACTCCTGAACAGATGGCATCAGTGATTGACTCAAAGGATAAAAGAAGGTTGTCGACTTCATTAGTAAAAATTTTTCCTAAAATTGATTGATATGAAAAAATTTAGAAATGATTTAGAAAAGGTCTTCATCTTGTCGCAGGACTTATTTGCCAACCTAATAAATAACGTGGTAAGGCTACATAGCGCTGAATATACGGGAAGTTATACATTTGACAAGACAATACATTTAGAGGCTAAATACGTGGTGAGACAAATATATGGAGAGACTAAATAGGTGATAAGGGAATTACAACTTCACATAGTGGGAATTACCACGAAAACTCTTCCAAGATCAAGAACTAATGATGTGCGCAAATAACATATATTCAAGGACTAGACAAGATAGACGTAAACAGATGAGGCATACCTACTTATTCCAAGTTCCTTTTCCGTCAGACTCACTAAAAACTGGTCTACTCTGGTGTAACTCGAGATTTATATAATTAATAAAATGAAATTAAAGCAATATCGAAAGTAGGTAAATAGGTGTAGGAAGACACGAGCTGATGCAATTACATAACCAGTCGCCGCGTTAGTGCGAGACATCGAGAGTGCCGCGTCAAATGTTCCGCGTGAGGACCTTGTGACCCGAGGCGCAAGGCATCCTTCCGGTTAGTCTTTCGATATGGGAGTATAACAAGGTCGTACATTCGCCACGGTAGTAAGTACCCGTCCATAATTAGCAATGGATACCACAGTGATTGAGCTACAACAAAGGGAAATTAAATAAATTAGCATTTTCATGTACGGCTTTCTATGAACCTCGGCATGATTATATTACTGAGTTTGTTGTTGTCTTGAACTCTTCACGAGGTTTTTAAATAACTTTTATTAGGATGACGTTTCGGCGGAATCGCCTTCTTCAGAGCCTGAAAGGATCATAACAATCTGTGATTATCGTCTCCACCAACCCAGTAAGTTCGAGACCAAACGTCTCCACCAACCCAGTAAGTTCGAGACCCCAGGGCACGCAGGTGGTCGAAAGGAGAACCACTCACCGTAATATTGTGGATTCTTCGAAACCACCCAACTAATAGTGGTACCAACCGACCAGTGTCAGCGGGGGTACGTCTTCATTAGAGTCTGTGACGGTAGGCCAATCTTATATAAGGCCGTAGCTCCCGCGTGATTGCGAGGCATTTTTCCCTACGATTCATTTTGGGATCGGTGACCTGTATCCAAAATGCCTCGCTCAAGAAGGCGATTCCGCCGAAACGTCAGCCTAATAAAGATTATTTAAAAACCTCGTGAAGAGTTCAAGACAACAATAAACTCAGTAATATAAATTAGCATTGTTCATAGCAGCTAAGTACATGTTCCAATGATTCAATAAAGAATTACTTTCATGCCTTCAAAAGAACTGACGCATTCAGGAAACACGCCTAAAGTACGAGTTTGATCAAAAGAATCATGTGCTCCGAGCCCAATACTCATGCTTCACTGAGCAATGCAACAGCCTCGATGAGCTCATGGTAAGATGCACGTAACATCTCTCACACTTATATCCACAGATAATCTTTTTCCAGGCAGTACTACGTGAGGAAGGGTTTAAGAAGAATGAACACTCGGTGCTTGCCAGAATGACGCTCCTTGCTTTGAAAGACGGACTTATGAAAGCAGCTATGGGCAAATTTAGGGAGCAAAACGGTTAGGCCTTCCCATGTTTCTCATTTGTTCCACATTCCATGCTTCCGCTTCGCCGAATTTGTGCCTACTAAACTCTCACTTTCCTCTCCTCAGCCCCAGAAACTGACGTTGCAACCAATTAGGCAATTGTAGGGACTCTGAAGATGAAGTAGTTAAATGACGTCCGACAAAGGTGACAAACTTTACAAGCTGCATCGCAACCGCTCGCAGAGAAAACCCCGCCCTGCTTCATGTTGTGAAACTGAGCACCCTCTGGTAACTGATTTTGTTTCAGAAGGAACACCGTTCACACTTTGCGTGTGCATGTTCACACTGCTCGCTTTGGTCGCTTTCATACACATGACCAGAGTTTTCTTGATGTACCTTGGACATCTCAAGAAGACTGTCTGAAGAAGTCCGCCAAGCAACAAACCACTAGTTTTTTGACGTTCAAAGAATCAAAAAAAAAACGTCTTTACTGTGCATAATCACATTGATACCAAAGGTTTTAACATAGCTGATGCAGTAGCATAAATCTTTGAGTTAAGTGTTCCCATTGTATACTTCTTCTTAGAATAATCATTACCAGATAAGTTTATTTTCAAATTAGTTGAGGTCAACGATGAGGGTGATCACAATCACTTCCAATATGTGATCACCGAATTGGCCTACTAATTCCTGATCTGTGTTAAACTAATGGATAAATGGTTTAGGTAATTCTGGCCAGTACGCAGCTGGCATGGCGCTCGAATGAAAAAAAATGTCTTGGATTGCTTGCGTGAGGGGAATTCACCCCCAAAATAGTGGTTCACACCTCCCAATAGGTGGTTCTGACGTCCGCTCCAGGGAAAACTCCCGAAACATCCTTCCCCATGTTAATCCCTCGAGCTTTCTCCTCTGCCTGGTGAAAACACAAAATAGGCCATAGCTTACGCATTCAGCAAACGCGCTCCAACTCGAATGTTGTTGTTGAGCCTTGTTTTCGAAGAGCGCGGGATCCATATGCCCCGAGCCATTGACCACCTTGTTGTTCTCATGGGTGGTTGTTCTTCCTTCGTTCTGAACAGGAACGGCATATGCCAGTCCTTCCCATCGCTGTGACTCATCGTTGTGCTTAATTTGGCTCGAACTTACTGCCAGCCCTTTCCCACGTTGAGCAGGCTCATGAATGCAATAGGCGCTAAGGCACGTGCTCGTAGGCCGCTCTATTGTTTGTTTGGCTGCGTGTTGGAGGTCTTACAATTTGTACGTCTGNCTTGAAAAATAGTTGCTCTAGGGCGAGGTAGTCATTCATGTTCTCTTTTATTTCCGAATTTAGTTTAGGTCTTAAAGAAGGAAAATGTTTGATTATTGCATGTGTTCTCGGCTGGAATTGTGCTACCCTCGTAGTCCTTCTTTTCTTACATTCTTTCTTTCTACAATATTTGCTTCGGTATATGTTTTAGGAAGAATCTATAGCATATTAGGTTCTTGTAAAAAATCTTGTGGACGGCCATAATCGTTTTGAAACACCTTTTCGTGTGCATCAATGGATTTGGTCAATTGTGTTGGTCTATTGTCGTACTGTGTCAATGGTCCATAACGTCAGCGGGGTTCGCCGATCATCCCTCCAGAAAACGACATCACTTCCGCCTACCGATGCAGAAAGTGTTCTCGTGAATGAAATTCGTTTACTCCACTGTCGTGCCGCCTATCGTTTTATAACTTATCGGTCCGCGGTGTAGTGTTTTTTTATTTTGTATTTTCAATTTTTTGGGTACCTTGCGGTAAGTTGTAACACGTTGGACGCAGCACTGGACTTCCACAAACATCTTTCTACAAGTATATTGGGTCGGCAATTGCGTCTAACGGCAGCCTGGCGTTGAAGTTAATTCACCTGTAAGTGCGGATTGGTCGAAACCGTGTCTCGAATCAAAGGTCCACAGAACTTTTAGCCCTGTCTGCGGATGACGACTTCAGCGGTGCGCCACTTCCTAAGTCCTGCGGGATCGACCTCTCTCAGTCTTGACATGCCCGAAACGGCCTAACCTAATAAACGTGCTCGGCAGCACTTTCTTGGTACTTCGCAAAGGACTTTATATTGCCTAGCATGGGTCGGTATCGAACCAGGTTTGATCCCCGATTCATTCATGTAGTAGGAGTACTATTTGGTGCTAGTCCACATTCGTTACCCAGAACTCCGCTATGTCAGAACTTGCTTGTTTGGTTTCCTACCTGCGACTATTATCATAAAGTAGAATACTAACGGCTACATTTCATTGGAACCTCTTCTCAATCCTTTCCTACAGCTTGGTGGTGCTATCAAAGGAAAGGATTGATTGTTTCAGAAATTCATTGGAACCAATATTAATACAACTGTTTGTAGTGGTCTTTGATCGAAAACCTGATTTGATAGCATGTTTTATCAGCCGCTCTGTTCCAAATGTGGGCACCATCGACAAGTACTCAGCGAGCTGTGTCTCTAGCCACAAAACAATACCCAACCGACTTCATACCGGTTGCTGTTGCACTCTGTCCATCGTGATACACATGCCACTAGCGGTAGATTGGTCGATAGAATTACACCAATCAGTCGTACATGTACGTTTTTCACACCATCGTTTGGTTTTTGGGCTCATCGGTATGAGTCAGACATCGATTAGCTCTCGAACATTGTTGTAGCAGCAGAGCAGGAGTGTTTACTTCTGTACAGAATTGTACCGGAAGGTGCAGTCACTCGTACTGCTGTAGCGTCGAACCACCGGTGGTTATCCAAGAAATTGCGTCGTTTTTGACCTGATGTTTTGTTAACTGCTGTTATTTACCGCAGTACTCGTTCAAAAAGTCTCACAAGGTTGGCGGTCATGGACAGGACTTCGGCCTCGGACGGGACCCGAACCCGTACTTGTGCTATAGCGTAGCGTTAGTGTTGTATGGGAAACCGTGGTGTACTGAATTGTACCAGAAGGTTCAATCACTCATGCATCCGTAGCGTTGAACTACTGAACGTTATGCAAAAGATAGCGTCAGTGCTATACGGGAGCAGTGGTGACCGATACATTTCGATGAACGACCCTCCCTGACTTTGTTGTTTTTCATTTTGGCGAGATTCCTAGCAAATACGGTTTGCTGTTTTGCAAAGGCAGCAGAGATTTGCTCCGAACAGGATTGCAAGCTTTCGGGAACCTAGGCATTATACGGTCCGATTTCTTCACGAGGCGACTGCTTTTTCTTGGCTCTTTTCAGTGCAACTCGTCCTAGTTTGACGGGTCTGTTCGCAGTCATGGAATCCTGGAGGTGTGAATTTGTGTTACTCTTCAGATCGAAGATCATACCATTAATTCACTCATTGTCCACTTTGTACGTTCGGATTCTGAGCTTTCATATAGTGCCCAGGTTCATGTGGACAGACTGTATTTGAGCTATTCAATTTGCATTTTATTTACTACATAGTTCTGTCTACTATAGGTTTACTTAGAAAAGCAAATGCGCAGCAGTTTCCATTGATGGGGCCCAGTTGACATCTTTCTTTTTTGTGTGGGTTCACATATTCAATCTTGACATTTCTGTTGTTGTAAAGTTTTGTCAATATTGTGATGGTATACTAATCCGCCAGGTGGAGTCACTGTTCAGTTTGGCTTATGGATGGAAAGTTTCCTGAAATTCAATTACAGCAGTACTCTTTTTGTTCGTCCGGTACATATGGGAAGACGTTATGCAAGGTCCTCTGAGACAGAAGCTTTAGTTGTGTGATGAAAGCTGAAGCTTGGAAAAAAGTGTTTTTTTTTTGTTATGGAGTTATAGTTACTGAAAAGCTATAGACTAGAACAGGTAGAAGATCTCTTCTTGGTTGTGTGGTTTTCAACCAGCAAATGTGCTGGGACAACTTACGGCTGGTATGCAGCTTACGGCTTCTGGTACCAAGTTTCAAGGCTTTTAGTCTCTATGTTCGCCTAATATTCAGTAGTAAAATGAATGAGAGAAGTGCGTGATCAAATAGATCTTCGTTAATAACGTGTTCATTCATTTGCTGCTGTTCATATATGTACTCAGTTTAACTTCTCTTTCTTCAAGGTTTTTATTAGTCCATTTAAGTAATGGATCAACATCTTCAATTGCTGAGACAGTTCGTCAACCTTGTGAGGTCGAACACGGATATCTTGCACGACCCGAAGTTTGGATTCTTCCGTGAATTCATGGAAGAGTAAGTAACAGCTTTTGGAAGAGTTCAGAGTTCAAAGGTTTTAGCAAGCCTTTGTCTAAAATGTGTGTTTTCGATGAACCCTCGATTTTTCTACTCAGATTTGGTGCTAAAATCCCACCGAAGAAAAAGGACACAGGTAGCCACGCGCAACCGGAAGGTCAGGCGAAAGAGCGCGAACCTGAGCCCATGGACGTGAGTTTCATCTTTGATGCTAAATGTATATTCTTGAAGCGACAATCATCTGTAAGAAGTAATTGTAAGCGAAGCAGCTTATTGTTTCCGCAGATTTTACTAATTTTGTTGGAACGCGGTAAACATTGATTTTGACCGCTGTGATTTCCTGATTCAACTTGGAAAAAATTGTCTGTGAGGAGCAGATGAGCATCCTTTGCCTCTCAAATAGTGATGTTTCGAAGTCATCCAGACTCTTGAGGTATCCTGAGCTCAGTTTTGTTTATGACATTTTAGGTAGAGGAAGAACCACCAATTCCATATCCATCGGACATTGATAACACTGGCGTCATAGAAGCGGACGATAACTCGGATCCACTTCCTATGGGTGACCCGAATAAGGAGGTGCGTACTTGAAAGTACAAGTCAAACGGATGAGTATCTGTCTACGAAGTTCCCGGTTCAGGCGTCGGACGACGACATTGAGAAAGCAAACGAGGCAAGGGACAAAGCAATGGCTGCTTTCTCTGAAGGTATGCCAAATTATAACTGCTTTCAAAGCCTGAATCGATAGAATGTTCCCGTCATAAATTTGTTCCTTTTGTATAAGAAATTCCTCCGCTAGCTCCCTATAGTGAGTCGAATCGTTGGAGTAGGCAAGTCAAAGAACACTGGATTGTTGGAAATATTTAGGTAGAGTGGTGAGTTGCACCTTAGTTGGTTCGAGCTCATCATCTAAGTGGGCTTAGGGTACAACTTGCAGCTGTATAGGTTTGGTTATATACTATTTCATATAACGTGCTAGGATATCCTACTATATATAACGCGGTAAGCGTATATGTTGATTGTCTGTATGTTGTGTGTGTGGGTTCCAACGAAATTTCTTAATTCCAGTTTCCCTGTTCCTAGAGCGTTCAAATTTGGTGGGAGTTCGGACCGCGCTCTGGGAAAACCGATGATATGTGACAGGGCTAGACTCCGCTTACAGGNGGCGGGGCGTAAGCAAAACTTCTTAATTTAGTCCTAGAGCTTTCAAATTTGGTAGGAGTGCAGGGGGCAGTATGGAAACACTGATGGTAGGTGATAGAAGGTAACTGAACTGGATCCTGCCCGCAGGACCGCAGGGATACTATTTGAGCTTTCTCCACTTCCTCTGGTCAAGTACACATATCGCACATAACAAGTAATCCGTAGGCAGGCGCAGTGAGATGTAGGAGGTGGAGCGTGCGTGAGAAGAGCGGAATCTAAGTAAACTGTCGCTTTCAAATTGAAAGAAGGAGAATGAACCATGTCACTCAAACGCATATCGTTGAGAAGAACTCCGCTCATAACGGGCAAAGCTCATGAACTTTGTCGGTGTGGCGTCCAAATTTGAAAGAGATGTGGGCGGCTGGCCAACTTTGGGAAAAGGAATAAAGCCTAGCGTTATCCGTTCAATCCAACTGGTTTTTGAATAATTGCATATTATGACCGCAGAACATTTTAAGGAAACATGGACGACGCGCTGAAATATTTCACAGAAGCCATCGAGTTGAATCCTGGATTGGCCATATTACATGCCAAGAGAGCAAAGTATGTACATTTTCTTACGATATTTTGAAAAGAAGTATTATTTTTATGCTCAGGACTTTTTATCTCGTAGTTATTTTCTATACAGATTATTAGTGGAGAAATCGCCTTAATCTTGTAGAATCTGACGCGCTTTCCCTTCTGGGAGCGAGCTTGATTCTGTAAGAATGCTGTTCCAGTGTTCTCCTCAAACTCAAACGTCCAATGGCGGCCATTGCCGACTGTAACAAAGCAATTTCCATTAATGCTGACTCTGCTCAGGGATATAAGTTCAGAGGGAGAGCCTACAGGTGAGTGATGGGCTTGCGGCAATTTGTAATAGTTTTGAAGTGATCATTTTCTGTGATTTGCAACACTAACAGNNNAACATCCTGCCGCCTCACTTGGCTCTCTGCGTAGCAATGTGCTCTAGTCGCTCTGAGTTGGCCCACGCTCCTCGTAGGGGGAAAATATTTTTTGGTCAACACTTCAGGCCACGGCCGGCTTCTTTCAATTTCGAGAGCTAGGCGAGGTCGAATTCGAGCTTAAGTTTTTATAGGTTGTATTAAGTGCCAAGAATGTGATAGGGACCTAAAAATGGGCAGGGTTTCTTTGAATTTGAATTTGCGGCTCTCGATGTTTTTTTAGATCGTTTCAAGGTGACTTACCTTGATCCATGCGGTTGCCCATGATTTTCGGACGGCACTATGGCCCTATTTCTGCATAAAACACCCTAAAAGAGTGATGCAGTCACAAAACAAACTATAGAACCTGTAGCTGGCTCAAGGTTTTCACAGGCATCCATTTGTCGCAGTGAGAATGCTGAATCTTTCTTACCATGAGCCCGAACAAAGTACATATTGGGAAGTGTTGAAGTTGTGGCAAGATGTTGCGTTATAGTTTTTTGCTTTACCTTATTGTGCCTTTCATTTCCTCCTGAATCCCTCAAATCTGGGAAAGTATCAGCAAATACAGTAGCGCTCAGAAGTATTCGGCCAAATGCTTCTTCACTCATACTTTTCAGTCATAACTCCTTTCCTACTGGATCTAATCAAGCGAAATTTCAGTATGTGTAGCAGGGTGTATTGTGAATATTTACCACAAACAACCTGCAGTCTGATCATGTTCCAAATATCCCAAAGAGCTTGAAATCAAAACAAACTGAAAATAGGGACGTTGGTGCTTCTAGGAATTCCTTCCTTTTTGCCATGTCCAAAGTGTACGAGAGCTAATGTCGAACATAGAAGAGGAGAAAAACGTACATGAGGTCAGTATAACTGCGGACGTCACAAATTGCTTTCAGCATAGTCTACAAACGTCTTCCCTTTAGTTATGTGAACATTGCTGCTTTGCTGCAAGTCAAATAGTGCTGGATAGTGTGAAATATGCTTCAGTTACACATATCAAAATTTCATACGATTTGCTCCACTGGGGAAAAAATCACGGCAATTAAAATTGCCTGAATACTTTTGAGCGCTACTCTATGTCGCTCGTGATTTTTTGCTGGCCTTTGTATCATATCACTCAGCGTTGCTATCATACTATGATGGATCACAATTTTGCTACTTTTAAGTTCGAATTCCCGTCAGTTCCATTAATGTTTTTTGTTATCTATTATTAGACTGCTTGGAAAATGGGTCGAAGCTCACGCCGATCTCGCAACCGCATGCAAACTGGACTACGATGACGTAGCTAATGAATGGCTCAAGGAAGTAGAGCCGAATGTGAGTCTTTCTCTTTCCACTATTTTTTAATTCAACACAGCTGAGATGCAAACAATTGTCAGCATCTCCTTAAATGTTTTTTCTTGGATTCTGATATTATATAGCTACGTTGTTTATGTCTTGCTAACAAGTCTGTTCATTCTTCCCTTGTTTACAACATAGAATTTACTTAAGCGGAATATTTATTTATGCGTAAGCAAAAGTTCTTGCAAATTCTGCGAAGCAATAATAAATATTCTGTTAGCTAAACATAATAGCGCAAAGGCGGTTTCGTGTTTAACTACGGAGGCATTATTAGCAAATCACAGCGGTTTTTTGCGGCAAAGGCGTTTGCCGTTGGGCCCGATTGGAGCACGTTCCTTTGGTGGCAAACCAAGTATTTCGCGACATGAGTAGTAATACTTGTTACACCATCCATTCTTTCTATAACGCTCCAGTCCTATCCGAGCCATACTGCCGGCATGATCCTCGTTAATCGCTTGCGGCTCTGCTGAACTGTAACATGATTTACCACCGGACTTACACTCAATATCTCGAGTTTCTTTGTCGGATGATAGAGATGCTGGACCCGCAGTAGTCTGCGCAGACTTCAGCGATTTCTTTGTACCATCCTTGTCCTCACCTTCTTTTTCGGAGGCAGGTATCCGTTTTGCTTCCTGACCTGCTACTTTCTTTACAGCTGGTTCGAGCTTTTCCTGAACNTCCTTGAGATCCTCTTCGTCGGATAGGCCTGTTTCTGCATAGCAGGACTTTCTATACTTACACTGAAGTTGTTTTGACACACCAGCCTTGAAAACGATTTTCTGGTCGTTGTAGAAGTAATGAGGTACAACGGTCTCCGGTAGTATGCCTGTCTCATAGCATGACTTACGGTACTTACATTGGAGTTTCTTAGAAAGTTCTAATTTTGAAAGTGCCGCATCTGTCTCCCTTTCCTTTGTCTCTTTTTCCATTGTCTCTTTTTCCTTTGTCTCTTTTTCCTTTGTCTCCTTTTCCTTCGTCGCCTTTTCCTTTGTCTCCTTTTCCTTCGTCTCCCTTTCCTTTGTTTCTTTACCAACGTCTTCTACGGGTTTCTCGAGCAGGTGCTTGAGGGTTTGATCAATTTTTGGTTTCTTTCCTGTTTGATAGCATGATTTCCGATACTTGCATTGCTCTTTCTTTTGCTGTTCTTCTTGGTGGTGATGTACATCTTCCATCATTTTCTTCATTCCTGCTGCTACCGTGTCATACTGCTTGCTGCCGCTTTGTCTTGCATATGCTGCTTGCTCGGCATCATCTTGTTTCTGTTCCACTTTTTTTTGTTCCTTCCCTTCTTTCTTCTTCTGCTTCACAGCACTATCCTTCGGTGATGGTTCTATCTCTTTTTTCTTTTTCTGTTTTGAAATGACTGGTTTCTCTTCCGCCGATACGTCCTCTTTCTTCTTAGTGACTGGCTTCTCCTCCGTCATTACGTCCTCTTTCTTCTTTTCTCTCTCCTTCTCTTCACGCTTTTCTATCCTTTTCTCCACTTTCGGTTCTTGAGGTTTTGCTTTCTTCCCCTTTCGCACTTTCTTCACTTGTGGCTTATCTTCCTTCTCTTCTTCTGTTGTTGACACCAGCACTGGTTCTTCAACGACTTCCTTCTCCCCAGAGTCTACCTGCTCTTGCTGTTGCAGCTTAGTTTTCCGGTATTTGGATGGTTTGCTTCCTGAGTCTTCCTCTTGCTTCTCTTTGATCTCCTCACTTCGATCTTTCATCGGAAGAGTATACTCAACTTCCATTTCTCCTGGCTCTTCAAATTCTTCTTCCTCTTTGGTTTTATTGCGTCTGTGGTGCCTTCCTCGATAGGTACCCAGCTGCAGCTCACCCCGAAGGCGACGATGTAGTTTGGCTCGTTTAGCCCTTCGTCGTCGTACTTCTTTTTCAATTTGGCGTCGTTTCCTAATGAACTTTATCGTATCCACGGTTGCCGAGTCGTGTATCTCGTTGTAGCACGACTTTCTGTATTTGCAAAGTAGGCGGAGGTCTTGGGCATTTGTGGGTATGACAGGGCTCACTTCTTTATGGATCGCCGCTTCTAGATGTGGATTGATCTCGGGTACAATACCGGTTTCGTAGCATGACTTACGGTACTTGCACTTCTCTTGCAAAGACATTATTCGTGGCTCAACCTGCTCGTGGATAGTGAAAAGATCACGGAATGTACGTACAAATATTTCCGGCTCAATATCGGGTTTGATACCGGTTTCATAACAGCTCTTGCGATATTTGCAGTAGACCTTCTTCTCGAGCTCTTCCAGTTCGTCGTAGTTGATCTCTTTGGTTGCTGCCTCCGCCGATTCAGTAGAAAATATATTTATAGGAAGCGGTAGAGACCAGGTGTCCGCGATGACGGGTTGCTGGCCGGTCTCGTAGCAACTTTTACGGTACTTACAATTGAGCTTCTCATTGAGTTTTTCTTCGATAGCATCGAGTCGTGCTTGGACGACTTTCACAGCAGGACGCTTGGCGGCCTTTTCGCCTGCCTCTTGGACCATTTTTAATGTGTGAGCAGCAATTTCTTTCAGAGTTTTCTTCGGTCCTTTGTCTTGAACTACCCGTTTGCTTGATAGCAGAATTTTCCGTCGTTCCTCTGCCTTCTCGTCGTACGGAATGCCATGATCATGATAGCATGAGATTCGGTACTTGCAACGGACCTTCTGAGGTGTAATATCTGCCTCAGCGTCATATTCTTCTGCAATATCTTCTTCCTCTTTTTGCTCTTTGCCGCTTTCCTCAAGCCAATGTGGCCACCATTTTTTATAGAGCGAGGTGAATGCGTTGTCGATTTCGGGCACCACTCCACTCTCATAGCAGGACTTTCTATACTTACAGCTAACTTTTTTCTCGTATTCACTAGGTTCTTTCACTGGCTCGGCGATGATCTGGCCTGAACCTTGTTCCACGATTTCTTCCATGATTTGATCGACGATTTCGTCAACGTCTTCATCGAACTGGAAAGAGAAATTTTGATTTAAGTGCTGAGCGATTGACGCCACTAAATAGGAGTAAAGATTATAGCTTATAAAAGTTAGTGCAAACTGGAAGCAGTATGCCACGAGAGTTGTCTTCAATGCTTCAAATTTCAAGGAATTTCTAGCGTTGTTATTTCTAAAGGATTTAAAGGCAGCAGACCCATAGTATGGCTCTAAAGGTGCGAATGGTTTTCTGTTAATGAATGGCATGAGCTGCTAACATTCGTATATTTACTTGCTCTAATTTGCCTTTAGTGAGCGCCTTTATCATCTGGCTCGGCTCGTGACGGGCGAACCAGAGGGTCACCTGTTAATCACAAAAAGCTTGCAGATTGTTCCCTTTTAAAATTCTGCAGGGATGATGTAACATGATCTATGGAATGCCTTCAATGAAGCAGAATTTGCAGTGTTGACGGCTTTGCAGAAACTTGAATTTAACCGCAAAACTTGGAGATTATGGAACTCACATGATGCCCGTGATGATGGTGGTAATGGCCATGGTGCCGATGATGATGTTCGTGATGATGACCATGATGTCGATGTTGTTTCGATGCCGAAACGAAGAACCAAGGCCAAATTGTAGATTGTGGTGGAGTGGTCACTTTCTTGTTCTGGCGAGGTGGCTCGATATAGTGGACGTCGTCGATTTGGAGGCTGGGAATCATCGCCATTGAGGCGCTGTTGCAAAAGTAGATGACATTTGAGGAATCAATCGCAATATGACCACTTGAAAGGCATGTGACAGTCTCGTCCAGCAAATTTCGAGTTTGGGTGCTCGGAGTACCTAAAAATTCCCTTTAAAAATATCCAGATTTTTGGTTCTTAATTTTGGGAGAAGGTTAGGGCTTGGGTTAGAAGGTTCGGCTATGCTTGGCTATGTACGGTCTATCGCTAAATTTCAAAACAATGCCGCATACTGTGAACACTGGAACAGAACAACGCAAACGTGAGAGGATGAAAAAGCGAACAGTCTAGGAAACCGATGTCAGACTGGAAGCGTGCGAATAATGTCCCTTTCTTAAGGCTTCAGAATAGTTTAGTGTATAATACTTGATTAATGTGCTAATATGGAAAATCATTGATTCCCTCTTCGAATCACAAATGATAGAAGTGTGGAAAATTTGATACGTCGGTTTTTCGGTGACCTCTGTTAGGTTTTTTGCAAAACATTTATCAAAGTGAGCTCGTAAACGGACTGCCTCTTTCCACTCTTCTCTGCCTCTAAGACTGCTGATTTGGATTCTAGCGATTCGGTATTCATTTGGTTAATGTTTATCAAGACATTATTTCCATCGGCTGCAACGTGCGCACGACAATTAGATGGGAATGGTCTTCTACTAGTGCTTTGCATTTGAATTACAGGTATGCAGAGAACTATGCAGTGATTAACTTATTAGGATTGGGTCCGAAGTATAGTGGGCTCGCCTCGAAAGTGGAATTTTCTGGGTCGCAACAAGCCTAAGATTGTCAAAAAAGAACTTAACCACATCGAAAGAATAAAAAATTAAACTGACCGAATTCTATTATGATGAGCGGGGTCATCGTCTTCAGTAATCTTTGCATAATGAAAAGATGATCGGTGTTCATTTCATCAACGCTGAGATTTGTTACGATGACAGTTGTCACATTGCCCGCAAGCTTCATTTCATCCCATACTCGGTGGAAATGCTGTTCCTTCTCGACTAAAGGCACGGCGATTCCATTTGTAAAAACGGATAGTACTGATGGCGATTCTGGAAATGAATTAAGTTACTCAATGAATTAGTCACTATCATAGCCGTAGAGCTTAAACGCATGTCTGCCATTACTGGCAAGCTCTACAATTTTTACCCAAAGTACACTCGCTGTACTCCCTCAAGAGTTCAACAAATTGTTCAGAAACGCAAATCTCAAATCATAAGGTGTTCAATGGAATTCTTGTAATCGCAAGAAGTCAAGACATTTTTCAAAACATATTTAAAGCTCTGGTTCTCATTTCTAGAGATGTCCAACGTTAGTGCAGTCTTAATAAATAAAGCTGGGCTTCCGACGAGAGAGCCTGTCAGGTGGTACTAAGCAAGCGTCGTGATTCATGTGATCGTTACACTCACTAATATTTTCTCCCAGATATATTATATGAAATTTGCTGGTTCATAACTGGTAACTGTCGAATATACTCAGTTAACGAAAGGGTTAAATGGAAAGCTTCCAAAAATATGCTTTCATTTTAGCCGGCTGGCGTTGGGATGTGCCTGATAATGGGTTGATTGGTGTGTTCAATTCATTCATTTAGTTCAGTTTAGTTCGTTCAGAATGCAGGCGTAAGCCCTATTTCTGGTGGGTGGGACATTGCTCGTCATCGCGAAATCTTTCACTATTTTTCGTGCTTTGCCCACAAAACTACACATTGTCCTCAGCATTTGCAGATGTCTGAGTGAAGGAGTTGTTGTCTGCTGCGGAAGCGGCCCCAGTCTGTTTTATTCTGTTGGGGGTATCGATTGGATGTCGGTTTTTCCAAGTTCTTCATCGAGCAACTGTTGGAAAATCAACGATACGTAGGATTGGGCAAGTGATCGATTGGGTGCACAAACATATGTTACTGGAATGAAATGGATATGCGTGAAGGTGATGATACACTTGGCCGGTTGTAAGATTGTTCAGCAATATCGATTGGAAACTGAAGATGAAAGACATATCAAAAATCGAGAAGATTTCGAGTCGATGATTGTTTACCTTTGATGACCTCATCGTAAGAGTCGATGAATTGTCTGGCCAGTTGATGTTTGTCCACATTAGTGCCGCTGGGTCCAGTGATCAGCAATGTTAGGCTTGCTGGAATGTTGTTTAAGAGATATTTCGACTTTTTTCATTTAGTACTTTACCAGCAAACTTAAGAGATCATGTTTGGTTGGAAACAACAGCCCGTGCTGACACTTACCTGAAGTTTCACTGGGTAATGTGGAGAAGAGTAGTAGTAATAATAGTACAAATACTGGTCGAAGCATAGTGGGTTTGTCGATAAAGGTAATGGAGGTATGCCAGGCTGAGATGCCGTCGTTCAACGACACGACATGCCTCGCACTGAGGAAGCCAGCTGTCCTTCCGTCTGCCCCGCCCATTGTTCTCGTGGGTGAGAGTATTTTTTGCTGATATTTTCGTAATCCCGACTTTCGATGGACTCTCAGCTTGAATGATTCTGTTCTCAACAATTGCTAGAGAATTTCAATGAATTGGTGATCTGGAACCGACTGACCTCGATATATTAGGTATGGGCAGATATTAGGCAGTCAGGTGCACTCTTGGGATCAGTTGCCCTGCTACAATAGTTGCTGGAAACTGGGGAGATAATCTGGGCTGCCATTAGATATATTTTGAGGTAATGAGTGGCCGATGAGGGGGTCCTCGGAGGGTAGAAAAGATGTCTAATGACTGATAAAAAATGTTTTTCTTGTACGAAGCTCTATTACTACTGTCATCAGCTAAAATTACCAAGCTAATGATATTGTGCGGTCCTGAGAATGTATACCAGAGGTGTACGAGCCCCCCCCTCTGTACGAGCATTTTTTTGTTCTTCAATCTTGTGTTGGCATACACTCGTGTGTTCGACTTCCATTCGCAATTGTAATTGCGTCGAATGCGTATATGAGTTATACGATAACCCCATGTATGAGTCAGCATCTTTTATCCTTTCAACTGAGTCTGATACTAATCAATCTCGATCACGGTGCAGTCGAGACCTTGGTTAGCCCAGGGAGGTGTTCATTCTGAATTCGTTGTCTGCGCGTGGTAGTTCGCTGCTTGAGGTACCTGGAACAACACCGCTTTCTCCCTAGAGCACTGTACAAATAAAAATCCTGTTCCAAAGCATTTCAAGAAAGTGGTATATCTCTAACTTACCAATGCTTCAAAACGTAGTTTGAGAACACTGAACAAATCTATGTAACAAAAAAAACTTTCGGTGATAGCACACAGAAGTGCCGCCATCATACTTCACACTTGCCGGCGGGCGGACTGCAAAAGGCGTCGGCGTCGATGAATCGATTTTCCGTTGCTTGATGATTTATTGAGTATAGCCCTCTTGAGGCATGGCTGTCCTGCTTTGCTTATTCTTCGCAAATCATCCCATTACAGCATTCACATTGAATGCTTGGTGGTCCAAATTCGCTCATCATAATATTTTTTGTCCTATTCAAGGTTTGCAGACTTCAGATGCTTTGTAGTGTGAAATTTTAGTTTTGCTATGCATACTTTTGGAATTGAAACTAAGGTAAAAGATTAATAGCATTTTCTGGTACTCCAAATATTCTGGGCTGCTGCAATAGGTGCATTAAGAAAGCTATCACCTACTACCGATCTTGAAAAACCAGGAGGCTGAGAAAAACTGTAGCCGTTCGAACAATGTACCTGTACCCTGCCCAATCCACTAAAAAAGGCGAAAAAAAGCGAAAAGGATAAACATAACAGCACCTCTTTCTTCAACCAAGCTTCCGAAGTACGTACTTACTCTAACCTAACCTAGGAGGTTTTCAATAGCAGAGATTAGATTTATTTTTCGCGTAAAGTAGGATATCCACTCTTGCATAAATTTCATAATGTAAATTGCTTTTGAATCGGTCGTTAGGTTAGGCTAGAGTAAGTTTCGGTACGTACTTAGGAAGCTTGGTTGAAGAGAGAGGTGCTGTTATGTTTATCCTTTTCGCCTTTTTTTAGTGGATTGGGCGGGGTACAGGTACATTGTTCGAACGGCTTCAGTTTTTCTCAGTCTCCTGGTTTTTCAAGATCGGTAGTAGGTAATAGATTTTCCCGGAACTGGAAAGCACCAACTCGAAACTGGATAATGCTTCGAATCAGAGGATCTTTCTTGACGCGGTTCCGTAGTCATTGGTGAAAGCCGATCGCATAGTGATCCCTGAAGGGCCTTAACGCGTTGAGATTTGTCCGTTTTTACTGTAACAGAGGTTATAGAACGTCATCTTTTATCCCGTTGATACAATCTATGAGGAGGCCTCATTAGGGTAGACTGGTTGACTCTCGCTCTCTCGTCTTTAATCGGATTGCATGAGCATTTTGTTGAATGAACTCTGTTTGCGAGTTCGTACTTGAAGGTGCTCAAGCAGTTGTTTGGTGTTTGTCATGTTTTACACTTTGGAAAAAGGACATCACGTGTGATATTCAAATACAAACTAATTCCGCAACACCGCCGTTGCAGTGCCTCGTGGATATTTCCCTACAATACTAAAAACTAGCAGTTTTTTCTGCTTTACAGAAAAACTTTCCTCCTTCTTCATCATTGCATTTTTCAAATGACGAATGAGCAGTCGTTGATCGGTGGAGTCCCCTGCTTCCATCAATCAACGACTCCAACTATTGGCTTCATGGATTATTTGCGGCACTGGTATAATACATTAACATCTGGACAGAAAAAAAATGCAGCTCAGGAATGCGGAGTTATGGATGCTGGCGAACCTTGAAGTAGAATAGTTTAAGGATGGTTGATAGAGTTTATGAGACTCGTCTTCAATGTCGTGAAATTTTTAAAATGAACATAACATTACATCTAGTAGCTGTGCCCATTCTTATTGAGTGGGAGGAATTGTTAGTTTGGCTCGCAAGTCTTCGAGAAAAGAATACAGGGGGAAGTGATTGCCGTAACAGGTCCATCTTCAATGCGAGATGTGTTGGTTATAGTTCACAATTGAGGTGTTTTCAGAATGGAACTTCAAACACTGAACCGATGGTCGTTTTTCCATGACTGTCTCAAGCCATAGCCGATTGCTTTGCACAGGGGCTGCCTGCTTTTGCAAACAGCCTCTATGTATTTAGAATTTATCGACTGTCAATTTTTGCAGCAAGCTTGGAGCTATCAATCAACCCGTTACTTTGATGACAAGCAAAACCTGACCACGGTGTCCAAGTGCGCGCTTTATAGTTTAATGCACGAGTCTGAGTGGACTTTGATAAATAGCAGTCATGAGATCCGTCTACATAAACTTCGACTCATTTTCAAGAACAGCTGCACCCAGCATAAGGTTCTATCGACTACATGTGTTGAATGAAGTCTTTATTGCAGGCAAAAAAGATCCAAGAGTACAATCGTGCGGTGGCCCGTCAAGCCGAGGAGCGTGAGCTTCGTGAACGTCGCGAAAGAGTACGACGTGCGCAGGAGGCGAATCGCAAGGCGCAAGAGGAAGCCGCAAAGGTAGGATCACTCGTTTCCAGTCGAGTTTAATATTGTTGTCCGGCATTAAATAAAGTTTTGCCGTTCTCATGCATGCTTTGGATAATCACACCAAAATGTAATCACGGTTATCACCGTACTACATACATGGGCTGTTCAAGAAAANAAAATATCATATAAAAACAATCATATAGAAAGCAGTGTTCTTTGCTTACGACGTCACTTTTCGTATTCACGTATAGACTATGAAGAGTTACATAGCTTATGCTTTTAGTCAGGAGCTGATGGAGACTTTGGAGGAATGCATGGTGGCGACCCAACTGGTGGTTTGGGTGACATCTTGGGCGATCCCGAAATTAGCGAAGCAATGAAAGATCCAGAGGTACAATTTTCTGTCATTTAAATAATTGTTTTTCGGTAAATATAAAGCACCATAACCACACGGAGATTCTGATCGCATCTAGCCTGGCTTCTTAGGAAGGGTAATCTTGTTATAGGTAATGGCAGCGTTTATGGATATCATGCAGAACCCACAAAATCTGATGAAGCATATGGGCAATCAGAAAGTGATGAAACTGATTGCGAAAATGAAAGGTGGGAGCGTTCAAGTGACGATATTGATGATATTTTTAGCGGCTGCTGCTCCCAATGCTGTTTTCTATTTTCCGTTCTTTTTTCTTTGTTCTACTCCAGATCACCCTATAGAAAGCTTGACTTGCTTGTTATAGACATGGGTGGAATGTTTGGCGGTGCCGGTGCAGCTCCCGGTGGTTGCCCGGCAGGGTCCAAATGCAGTGATACGGGCTGTGGCGGTGGTAGCGGAACAGGAGCAGGTGCAGCTTCATCTGCTCCTCCGCCCAAAGCTCCTGAACCTGACCTCGATTGAAGAGATGTTCTCAGCATGCTTTCTTTTTCTGATATATCCAGTGTGTTGTCGGTTTGTGTTGCAACCGGTTATTTCTTGAATGTGGGTAGTTTTATTTCGTTGGCA